CTTTTCAATTTTATCTTTGGTGAAAAAGAAAAGAAATCTTTAATACATATCAAAATATAAACAACTGTTTTAGTGACAGCAAATTAGTAGCCGAAACGTATAATATAAACTAATTAACACGTAGTACCTAATAACGTTTTTTTTCTTTTTTGACACGGAAAAATGTTGTGGATAGGGCATGTGTTTATTTTTTAGAACAAAGCCACAATGGTCTATTTTCTGTGCACGCCGCGGTGAATCGAACCCCGTATTTCAGCGTTGTAAGTTCGTGAACTTACCGTTATCACACTGGGGGGACGGACAGAGCATGTTGTGTACACTAGAAGATAAGAGTAGAGAGATCTAGCGGGTGAAGTTAAAGTTTCTGAACAGAGGTGTTTTGCCAGGTTTGTGACATATCAGAAAAAGGGCTACTCCATGAAAATTAAATTGAATAAACAAATGAAAACAGAACGTGGAATTTGCGCATGGTGAAAGATGAAAGAAAACAATGAACTGAGCTTATTGTAAGCTAAAATAGCAAATATAACAAAACTGAAATTACTCTGTAGCTTCCTGCAATTCCTAATTTTAATTTACTGTACTAAGTTTGCTCACATAAAACAGATACAATGAACGAAGATATTTTAAATGTTTATGTAGACACTGCATATTGTTTTGTAGAGATGAAACTGCAGAACAAAGACACTTATATAAAACTATTTTTGGTAATACATTGTTTGATTATATAAAGCTATTTTTGGTAATACATTGTTTGATTATATAAAACTGTTTTTAGTAATACATTGTTTGATTATACAGAGCTATTTTTGGTAATACATTGTTTGATTATATAAAGCTATTTTTGGTAATACATTGTTTGATTATATAAAACTGTTTTTAGTAATACATTGTTTGATTATATAGAGCTATTTTTGGTAATACATTGTTTGATTATATAAACCTATTTTTGGTAATACATTGTCTGATTATATAAAAACTTTTTGGTAATACATTGTTTGATTATATAAAAACTTTTTGGTAATACATTGTTTGATTATATAAAAACTTTTTGGTAATACATTGTTTGATTATATAAAACTGTTTTTAGTAATACATTGTTTGATTATATAAAACTGTTTTTAGTAATACATTGTTTGATTATATAAAGCTACTTTTGGTAATACATTGTTTAAAATTTACCAGCAGAAAGGAAAGTTTGAGATCAAACTAGCACAGAGAATGTATCTTTAAATAAATGAAAACTAAGAACTGGACATTAATAATAATAAAACACCACATGATTCATATAACTCGGACCATGGACAGCAGTTTCCGCAAAGCAAGAGGTGATCCCAAAATGAGTTTTCTCTCAACCTCGATGCAGCAAATAATTATAGTAAAATTATGACTATAGAAGGTGACTATTGGATGAAATTGTTTTACTCAGAAAATAAATTAACGAAAATGGACAACTATCTTTATGTCATACAACTAGTTTGATTTCAAGTTCATGAGTAAGCTAGAGCTTGTTAGATCACATTGACCATTTACTTGAAAATATACAAAACTTCGCAGCTGACAAAGTATGTTCGTAATTGATATTTCTAACATTGTCAATTCCACACATAAAGTATCGTGGTTTTCTCATAGAATAATTCCATACGTTTTCCCATAATTCATTCTATTGTTACATAAATTTCCATAAATAATCATTGCAGAAACTTTCCAAGTTGTTCTTGGGATTTCGTTATGGCTGACTTATAACTAAGTCAGTTAGTTGACTGTAAACAATGATAAAACAATGCTAAGCCTGACGTTAGAGTTAAATATATTACACTATTCTATCACTACTTTATCTTCTCACTAAAGTAATTAAGTTTATCTTTAAAAGGAGAAGTAACAAATAAGTAATCCTTAGATTATATATGTGTAATAATACAATTTACTTAGCTTAAACAATAGCATTGTTTGTAGAGAATTAAATAATTTCCCACTTATTTTTTCTAACAAATATTATATTATATATTTAAAAAGTATTATACGGAAACTTGCATATAAGTTATTAGAACAAAGAATCACTGTGTGTTGTGTTGCACATTATATTTAATATACCTTTTATTGCTGTTTACTTACGTACGTTTATTTTTAGGGTAAAGCTATATAATAAGCTATCTGCACTGTATTTTTCGCGAGTATCGGACCCTGGAGTTTAGTGTTATAAGCCCTCAAGCTTATCTTTTAGCCACCAGAGGAGGGACTACATTTCTATATCATAGCTGGATATATTTGTGATTTTGTTACTATCATTAATAAAACAGTTTATTGTTGTTCAAGTTTATTAATGTTTTTTTTTATCTGATAATCTGTGCTTGCTTTAAATCCAATACCCATTTAATACCGCACGTTTCATTTGTTTTTAAGAAGATGTTATAATGTGACGGTCAATCCCTCTATTCTTTAATAAAGAGTATCCCAAGAGATGGAGTTAAATGATGTCGACAAGCTGATTTCCCCCTAATCTATAACTTCAAAATTAAGGACGGCTAGCGCAGATAGCTCTCGACTAGCTTTGCGCGAAATTCAACAAACAAACAAGCTTGTTTTTTACATGAACTTTATTTTACTGTTATTCCCTTACAAATACATTAATTTATTGAAATTATCCACGATACAATAATAAATTTCTCTAGTTTAAAACAGCTGACTTGATGGAAAGCTATCAGTCAGCAGCACCTGCTACATATATTGCTACTCTTAACCGAATAGTGGGATTGATTGTCAGTTAAACATCTCCTCAGATGAAACTACAGAGCTTGTTCGGCGTTATATCCCTACTTGAACATTGGAGCTAATGATCTGTAGCATGATCTGCTAATCATTAAGCTGCACTCTATCTCGTTGAAGATAAGTCACTGACCATAGTTAATTAAACAGAAGATAAAACACAGCATTGAAAACTGAAGCTACATAAAAAATTCGTCTACGATAAACAACGTAACGAAAATCATTTGATGAAGTATATTTAAAAACAACTTAAAAATTACATTTCACACAATAAAAAATTACCACACAACCCTAAACTATGGAACGAATATTATTCAACAGCTATTTGAGATACAATTGTGTCTTTGTTTTTTTTTATCAAACTACTAGAATCAAGTGATTGCTAAGGCATTAATAATTTCGATAAACAATGTATAAGATACAAAATTTACGAATTAAATATGGCTTAACATTTAAAACACAGCAAACCCTTAATTCTAAATTTCAAGCTAAAGATTTTACAACATAGACAATACACACATACCAATTCTTGCCTTTTGATCACAATATCACGTGGGGAACAAACATGTTATAATAATATTATAAACTAACCTTGTAACTGTGTAAAACGGAAGTTTAACATAACCGAAACAACGACAAGTGAAGTTAACTTGTTTCTTGAGCTATGTGGTTTCGAACTGTGGTAGTAAATATAAAGGCAAAACAGCACAAATTCTTCTTAATGTTAAACAAATAATTTCTTTATCTTCACATATCAATGGTTTCTTGCTTTAATTAAAACTGAAACCGATATTGCTCTATTTTCGGTAGTAAGAGTGATATAACATTCCAGTAAGCCTGAAAATGTATTTTCTTTAAGACATGCTTCGCCATTTTTAGGCGTTATATGTTAAACGACTAGTGCAAATAACATTTCAATTATTATCATTTTTATAACTCAGCCAACCTGTATGTTGAGTTCTGTATTTAACGAAAAAAAATAATTTGCCTTATTCAGCACGTGCGCATCGTTACATAACTCACTAAGGTTTATTAATGGACAGTAGAATTTAACGAACCCTAGAGAAAACAAAAACTGTATATAACATATAATATACATTATAGAATATAGCAGTTAATTTCTCTCATAAATCTAGGAATACAATATCTTGTAGTTTATCTTCCTGACATTTTGAAAGTGCTTACAACTTATTCCATGCTTATATTTATTTTCTATTTTCCAGCAAGTTTTTTTTATTTGTTTATTCCTTTGTTTTGTAAATGATTAACTCTTCTTATTTAAGAAATCATCTTTTCTCCAGAAATACTTTGTAATCCCTTGGCATAGTAACGACGCTAATGGGTTTTGGGTCTGTATTAGCCGTTCCTGGCCCCGTTGAAAGGAAGACCTTGCAGCGTTGAATTAATCGAGCAAGCATCAAGAAAAGGTTCACATAGGCCAGCTTCTCACCAGGGCACTGACGTCGACCGAGACCGAAGGGAACATAATGAGTGAGTTGATGAGAGAGCAGTTGACCTTCTGAATCAAGAAATCTCTCTGGTCGGAAGTTTTCTGGGTCACCCCAGTGTTCTTTATTTTGATGTATTGAATAAAGGTTAAAAACCACAGATGTTCCTTTAGGAAGCTTGTGACCCCCTGTTAGAAAGAAACAGTTGGTTCAACAATTTATTCGTATATATACATAAACATTATGAAAAATTGTTGTCAATAAAATGTATATACATAAACATTATGAAAAATTGTTGTCAATAAAATATATACATAAACATTATGAAAAATAAATTGTGTTATCAATAAAATACATTAAAGTCATAAGAAATGCCTATTTTGCAATATTATTACTGAAAAGTACATAATGAAAAAACTCTCATTCTATTCTTTAATACTTATTTTATGCAAATACAAATGGAAAGTACTGATGATGACAAAACCTTGTCGAAACGTTGTACATTTGCTGTCGTGTTAAACTTATATTAAGATTTTTCTTCATTACATATTGAATCCGTCTCCAACCATTATTAGCCAACTCACTGTTTAAATAACAGTCACGTCCCTGAATTTGCACTATGTGCTAGAACTACTTAAAGTTGTTCATTTTTAAAAAGTGCACACAAGAAGATTATCAAAAACAAAAAAATAAACGTTTCAATAATATGCAATGGATGACGTTTTGGGCACATGCTAAGTGTAAAACCTAATTTTAGATTTGGAGATACAAAATGTATAAATAGAAAGATGCGTGCAACCAGAGCCGTAGCATGTCGTGTTCGCGCCCTGGGCAAATTTCCAGTCTGTATAGTTCTGCATAACTTATTGAATAACAGGCTTAGCGCTCTAACTGCGCTCCCCTTCCGGCTGCGCCCTAGGCAACTGCCCCTCCCACCCTACCCTAGCTATACCTAGCTATAGCTCTGCGTGTAACAAAAAAAATAAATATTAGTGGTATAAAGATTGGTGAAACATTCCATTGGTGTTTTTACGCCAAAAGAAAAAATAATAAAATTTCAAATGGAAACTAAAATAAAAATCTATATAAAAGTAAAATTCAAGTAAAACTATTTCTACTTAAAGCTCAGAATATTGTAATGTATTGTGCAGGTTCATCTAAGTTACGAGTTTTCTATGAACTTTATGTTTATAACAAATCATTTAAATTTGTAGCTTTTAAAATATTTTGAATATATTTAATAACATTAAACACAATGAAAAGTTTTATCTTTACATTAAAATAATAATAGAAAAACAATTTATTATTAACCATAGAAATTGTCTTCAGGCATCCTACCTTCTATTCATGTGTCAAATATACGAGTTGGCTGCCACCTGCTGGCTAGCTTTAGAACTACTAACTAACTTATAATTGTAAAACAAACAATAATGAGCTAAGCTTCAATCATAAAATTAAATCATAGATTGTATATAAAAGAGAACAATTAACATGAAATTTACAATTTGGAGCCGCGGGTGCGTTATAACAGCTACAACGAAATCTCACTATTGGATTAAAGCAGTAAGTGGTGTTGACCAGCTGCTTTCCCTCTAGTCAATTACTTCAAAATTAGGGACGGCAAGAGCAGATAGCCTTCGTGTAACGTTACACAAAATTAACTAACAACAACAACAGAATACTTTAAGAATCTGTCTTTTTGTAAAAAACAAAAACAATTTGGGCTCAGTAAATCCTCCTATTAGGTCTGAGGAGACAATATTTGTGTATTCACTAGCAAGTAAATTTTCTTTAAAAGGTTAAAATTGGATATCTTTAAATTTTTCTTTAACAAGTATTTTTGTTTTTAGCATTATTAGGTTTCAGACTTATCGCTGAGCCAGTTGAGGTCATCGAAACATCCAAGACAAAAGAAAAGATATATTGATTGTAAATAGTTATAGATTTCATTTCAATGGCTTCTTATAGGGCAGAGATAAAGAAACTCAAATAATGCAGTTAGGATGTGTTCTGACTCTGAAGTAAATATATATATATATATTGTAGGTTAGATAACTCAAGTATAGTACAGAGGGTTCAGTTCATTATATTCAAACGATTTTGAACATAACAACCAGCCGATATAAAGTCTCGATGGAACAGAATGTATCAGAACTACATTTTGGCATTGTCTGGCATTTCACAGGTAGAGTTATGTCACCAAAAACTGATCGCTTCTGGGAAGGGTATCTAACAATATATTCATACACCCAGACCATAAAAATGTGTTCAGATAGGAAATTTCCAGATCGGAGGTATTCTTTAAATTTAATGGTATTGGAAAACAAAGGAATATGGATCAACTTGGAGAACCAGGACCACACAAAAAGAAATCTGCAGCAAGTCATACCTTTGCCATGGTAAGCCAATTGCGGCGTCTTCTATCAAGTGAAAATCAATGAACACAAATGTCTGTGGCAAAAGGAACATAATCAAGATGGATATCTGTATACAAGTTAGTTCTGTGAAATATCCGTTCAAACACTTTACACCTCAAGCAGGTGGAGAATAAAACGAACATCCGCGCTATTCCACACGAAAACATACCATATGGATTTTTGAGTGATTGGACTATTGAAACAAGTGCTGAAGATCCTTCGTCCTCGTGCCCTATATGGATTATGAAAAAAAAAACAACTAAGCAGCAGTGGTTGTTTTGGTTGTTTTGGACATTACAGCCTCACGACGAAGCCTTTATAATGTAAATTACGATGCAGAGTTTTTGTCAAAATGAGCAGTTGTCAGATAAAGCATGATTGGACGTGACAACATGGACTATAAAGACATGGTAAGCTCCAAAATAGTTTTAATATAACGTACTGAACCTTTATGTAAACGTTGATTGGTTGCATAAATGGGTTGATTGGAATTAAGAATTCCAATACAATTTTTCTTTTATAAATTATTCTGTAAATATTTTGATTTCTCAGGCGAAACATTACGATCAGGTAATCGTGAGCTACTTATTAAAAACAAAGAAATTTTATCAACAATACTTTCTAGAGTTTCAAGAAGATAATTTTTTACTGAACTCAATTTGCGTTTTTGCAATCATCACGTGAGAACTGCATTTATACATTGCGATAATGCATACTCATATCTAATCTAAAAATTAGCACATTTTGCTCACGATGCTTGGAAATGGTCTTATAAAAGAAGGCTAGGGGTAGCTGGACAGGAAATTCGAGAATTCATATTTCATGACCTTGCCTCAAAAATGCGGTCGGTACATTAGGACTGTGGGTATGTTAAATGAGTGACGGTTAAATCATACATGATGTTAGGAAACACGTAGGTTAAAAAAAGTCAACTAAAGACAAAAAATATAAGGTCGTCAAGAAATTAATGTCGCGTTTTGGAACAATTTCATTAAACTTCCCCCAAAAAGCGTACATCACGTATAATAGTTAAACGAACCGCCTAAACGTCACGTTAGTGTACCTTTTATAACGTGTAAAGTTTAGTATAGTCCAGTCCGTGCCCGGCATGGCCAGGTGGTTAGGGCGCTCGACTCGCAATCTGAGGGTCGCGGATTCGAATCCCCGTCACACCAAACATGCTCACCTTTTCATTTAAAATAAATGACAAGAGGATCTAGTTATACTAGTTGAGATCAGTGAAATTGGGGGCATATCATCTGCTGATGGTGCCCCCCATAAAAAAAAAGAAAGAAAAAAATGCTCCAGTCACTTAGAGAGATGGCACACGATGAGACACACATTTGGCATATAATGATTTTTGAATACAAGAAGAGAAACAACGCCTCTGTAGCCACAAAGAATATCAAATAAGTTTATGGAAATGTGTTGAACGTTCGTAAGTGTAACGATGGTTCAGCAAATTTCGTTCAGATGACTTTAGCTTTAAAAACTGTGATCGCAGGGGCCGACATGTTGAAATTGATATTGATGCTCTGAAGACGCTTGTTGAGTCTAACCCAAGGCAACACACACTCGTGAAATAGCCCTGCAATTGCATGTCTCTCGTGAAACAATACGTAAACACCTAGGGAATATGGGAAAACTACATAAAGAAGGTGTTTGGGTGTCCAATGAACTCTCCGATGATCATCGTTTCCAATGTGTGAACGTTGCTTCGTCTTTCTTCTGGTGCGTAATGCACGTCAACCATTTTTAAAAAGAATTGTCCTGGTGATGAAAATTGGATTCTCTAGGCGAATATTAAACGCCAAAACCAATGGTTTAGTCCTAGACAAAAACCGCTTCCGACCCCAAAACCTGGATTCCATCCGCAGAAAGTGATGCTTTGCATTTGGTGGGGCATCAAAGGAGTAATTCATTTCGAACTCCTCAATCCACAGTGAACTGTCGATGCAGAGATCTATAGTCAGCAACTGGAACGTTTAAATCAAGACCTTCATCAGAAACACCCTTCACTCGTCAATCGGAAAGTCTTCTTCTTCACGACAATGCACGTCCACATGTGGCACGTTTGACACAATACAAGATTATGGAGTTGGGTTGGGAAGTTCTCCCCCACCGACCCTATTTTTCAGACATGGAACCATCAGATTATCATCTTTTTCGTTCGCTGCAACACCATCTTAACGGGAAAACGTATGCAAATGTGTAAAGTGTTATAGAGAACATCGACATGTTTTTTGCTTCAAAGCCAAGTGATTTTTTTAATCAGGACATTAACAATCTGATTATAAGATGGAAAAGCACCATCGATAAGAATGAGAGACTATTTCATTTAATAAATGTTTTGTTTTGATATACAAGTTGTTTGGGGGGTTTTTTCATCTAAAAGAAAGGTGACATTAATTTCTTGACAACCTAATATAAGCCCTACAGTCCAAACGCCTTCAAAAAGTAAACGTTTCGAAAACACTCGGGTCAAATCCCAATATTCGGTCAGGCAAGAGTACTCCAATAGCTGTAGATGGGTGTTATTGAGTAGTTGTGTTCTCTCTAATCTATACTATTCAAAATTACGAGTTCAATTTTGTACGATAAAAACAAAAAATATGGAGTGCTTACCCAAAGATGAACGTTTGAGAGGTTTCCAACGAAAACGTTTGCGACCATATAGAAATTTTAATATAAAAAACATACTCGATACATTAGCCTATTGTGCAGTAAAGAAATTAATTCAATAAATTCTTTGATTTTTTTAGGTCCTTTTATGCACTGCATATATGCAGCATCATAATTCACTATTAATAAACTATGCAATATATATTTATCAGAATTATTTTTTGGGGTATAGACTTCATAATATAATACTAATCATATTTGACGTATTTAGTTATCAGTCGTTAAAGAATACTGTAGTGGTAGGAACAGGGAAATGTTGTGGAAGGGTAGTCCTGTTAACATTTTTTTTATGGACAACTGATTTTCATTTGAGTTAAGGCCAGCTTACCAATCATTGCTTCGCTCCCTAATAGCAACTAAATTAGTAACAAAAAAAAACTAAAGTATTAGTAACCATCTTGAAATACAATTAATTAAATAGAACAACTAACCTAATTCAGTGTGGAGAAGCGACACATGCTCCAATGACAACCCAATCACACTTGCAAACCTGAGAGTCTCCATGACTACAGCAAACGTGTAAGGACAAGACGCTTTATCCGTTTGAACAACACATCGATCACCTGTAAATACAATTTACATTAATTATAACTGATCAGCACACGTACGTTTCTTTTATTCATAAACTGGAATACATACAGATATATACTAAATATTATCGTCACGTGTAGAAAAAAAAATTGCTGTTTGTAATTAGTCGTTAGCCTAAAAATTCAGATGATATTACTTGTGATAACATTGACCTGAAATAGCTTCATATCATTATCGATAACTACTGTTACTACAATTTTTCAAAAGTAAGTCAAGGTTAAAAAGGAACATTTAAAATCGTTAATCAAATGACATTTCTTAACCTTCCCTCTCCCTCAATAACGATGAACTAGGCAACAATTCATCGCTTCAATCATGATTAGGTAGTGAGATTGCTTTGTAACAATAAGCCACACTAATTTGGTGAAATAAACGTAGCTGAAGTGATTTTATCGAATGATGATATTTTTCCAGGATTTATAAAAGTTGCATGTTGGGAGGATTACTCCTGAGAGAAAATAGAGAGAGAGAGAAAAAACAAAATCGAACTGAATGTGGTTTGCATGATAATTCTAATATATTTTATTTTTTATAATAAATCGTTTCAGAAATCCTGAAAATTAAGGATACGTTTGTGGTCTAAAGCTTACTGATAGGTAATTAGGATTTAATAAAATGTAATTTAATAAAAGCGTGATGGTTTGGGGAGCTGTTTGGGTTGGTGGGAAATCGATCTTAGTGGAGTGCGTTGGCAACATAAATTTTGCGA